AGCAGCTGGACAAGCCGACAAGGTGGTCGCCCAAACGCCAAATACAGTGTTGCAACGTGTAGGACTCCCTCAGGAGTCCTGCATGTGTCCTGCGTTACAAATCGCTAAACGGGACAGAATCCAGGACTCGCGCCCGAGAATTGTGGCTCGGCGTCTCAAAGCTGCCGTTCGGTGCTGCCCGGCCTCTTTGCCGTCATGTGAGAAGGGCCACCTCGAAGATCTCTTTCCTGTAGCGGCCGGCGATGGGCCCCGTGCTTCTCTCGGGGGCTCCTGTTTACTCAACAATACTCCCTTGGGCCTTGGGTGCTATTGTGCATATAGCAGACTGATATAGCCTGGCTTTCCGTGCGGTTCGTGGTGTGTAAGCTTGCATGCTCTTCCTGCACCGGTCCTGCTCCCCATAGGCACGCTGCCGGCAAGACCGACTGCGGGGAACGGGGGAAATATTCAGCACAATGGTTGGCTGCCCGGATACTGCTGATACAGGCCGGGGCAAACGTCTGGCGCTCGGGTTTAGTGTCGTGACGTCGACGGACCTTGTCTCTTTAGAGGTACATCCATCAAAGACAGCTGAAAGGTTGCCATTGTGTGTGCTGGCACTGCTGCTGATGCAATGCAGGACCAGTATGTTGGCAGGATGCTGATCGGAGTCCATGCCCGACGTCGGGCCTTGTGCGGTGACAGCCAGACTGCAAGACATCAGATGGCAGAGCGCCAAGAAATCTGAGCCAGGTGCAGAGTTGAGTCACAGCCCAAGTTCCGACGAAGATAGGTTACTCGGATGGCCTGATAAGTCGTCGCGGGACATGAGAGGTCCTAAATCGGCTGGCTGGCCGCCGGCACGCACCCAAGAGCACCTTAGGGGCAGATTCCGCGCGGAACAAAGATGTCACTGCTTCGCTAAACAGAGTTTCGGTGTCGATCCAATGACGCTGCTGGCCCGAGCATCTGGGGAATCCCAGGCCGCGAGTAACCGCGCCACACCAACAAGCTTAGGCAATGCCGTTACGATCTTGCTCGGTAATCTTGTACTCGTTGAGAGCGAGTGATTGGACCGGGGAGCTCCTATCTGGCCTTGAAGCCGGCGGAAGGTAATGGCGTGCGTGCCTATGTGATTTGAAGATGGAATTGGATAATGGTCCAAACGACAGGCTGTAGGGCAACGTCGTGTGCAATCATGTTGCAGATGGCCGGCGGGCTGTGTGACACAGCGGCGGGAGATTGTCGAAAGGGAATGTATCGATTCGCGCGTCCCTTGCACCGAAAAGTTGATGGTGCCATGCTCGGGACTGGCTTGTGAGTGACCAAAAGGACGGGATGCTCTTGATGTTGTCCGATTTCCTTCCGCATGGGAGGCATGGCTCATCTCTTCGGTGAGAAAGCTTAGCTACAAGACCGTCATTTTGACGATCTTTCGAGAGCACATGGCCACTGCGGCGAGATGGTGCAAGCCAATTGACCACTGGTAGCAGACCCAGCGTGGGCAGTGCGCTGCAAAGCATTATTAGTTCAAGGTGGGGGAGGCACATTATGCTTGTTTCCAGGCAAGCCAGGTTGCTTGCGACATCGCCTCGGGATAAATCACCAGCAGCGAGCTGGCGGGGCTTGGCATTGATTCCCGTGAAAGACTCAAGAGGCGTTGAAGACGTTTGTGTAAGAGAGTAGGTATCCGTGTCCGTAGGTATACTTGCACATCGTGTGGCTTGCGTCTAAGCCGGATTCGAGAACAGGGCGGACGGGTTGACAACGGTTCGTTGGGTTTCCCGTTTTGCATCGCTCAGATGGTCCATTGTGATTCTGGACCGCGAGAGCAAGAACCATGTCGAGGTTTGATGTTGACGGCGGCCAGGGATGTCATCTGCCATGTCTCACGACGAGCCCAGTCCCAGCAACTACGCGGGGTTACTCAATGGTCGGTCTCGAAAGAAGCTAGAACGCGACGACAAACATCAACATGTATCTGCTCCGAAAATGCGGGCGTCAAAGCGCGAAAACAAGAGCTGGTATAAGTGTTGAGGTACTGTTCTCGGGCTACTAGCCAAATGCGAAAAACGAGGCGAGCAAAGAGCTCATGAACAGGGCAAGGTAGAAGGAGGAGACAAGTTCAATGTGTCAGAGCAGGTGTTGCGTAAGGTAGGCTTGGGATGGCATTGGCATGCGCAGCAATAACGCCATGGCGCCAGCGGTAGCCCAAGCCTGAGGCCAAATTTGACTTCCTTCGAGTCGGGAAACATGCACAGGTACGTTTTTTCTACTTTGCCCGGAGAGGAAATTAGGTAGGCGCATATAGCATGCAATACCTCAGTACGCAATTGATGGACGTCAGGTGACAACCCACGCAAATCGAGAAAGTCTGGGGGAGTAAGTTGCCAAAAAAGAGGGAAAGAAAAAGTCCGAAGTTTCCAAGTATAGCCGTACCTTACGCTGTTTCTTCAGACGGTACGGATAAGGTAGTTTTGATTCAAAAAGTACCTCACAGCAGTAGGCTACCCCACACCTCCCATTGCAGTGCATCAGTCCGACTCCGATCCTCTTCCTCCTCCTCTCCTCCCACCCTACCACTTCCTACCACCCTTCCCAGTCTTCTTGGTTGCTGGGAGGTCCAGCCGCCCCCAAGTCCAAACGTTTACTCGTCTAAGGTAACCTAAACAAATCCCCCGTCAAACTCCCATTCACCTCGCTTCCTCACCCTACCCGGCTTCCACGCCTACATGCCGCTGCAGCATCATGCAGCGAGCTGCACCGTCGGCGCAGCTAAGTGGCGTTGGGATCGATGTACCTGAGATGAGTGACTGAAGGGTCCGAGGGGGAGTAAGAGAGAGAAAAAAAGGGAATGGGGAAAAAAAGGAGGGAAAAGACTGGCCGATTCGTTCTCTCCGTCCATCGACGTCCACACCACCCAAAGCCCGACGGGTCACAACTAACCATCCCCAGTCACCAGTCAGACGCTTTCTGGTATAAATCTCTCTCACTTCGCCCACCAACTTTCCTACCCTTCCCCCGTTCCTTCCCCAGTATAACAAATCAGTTTGTACACCAACTTTGTAACCTATCTTCTTGTTCTTGGACTTCAGTTGCAAGAGATCTTGTCCTCTGCTATCCTGGAAAAACGGACGGCACGCTACTTCTGAGAACGAAAGTAGCGAAAGGCCCTTCTCGTCGCTGGACACTGACCAGTCGAACATCATCACTTCTCTTCTCCTCTTCTCTGCTGTGCCATTTCAGGGCCTATTCCAGTCCCGCCGGACCTGTGGTGAGCAACGCTTGTCTTCTGCACTTGGCCACTTGACAAAGTCTGACGTCGTCTCTGTAACAGTGTCGTTCGGTCCATCCACCACCAGCTTACGTCGCTTGATCGCTGAGCTCATACACACACGACACCTCTCTTCCTCTTCGCCCTTCCCAATATCATCATGATGGCACACCAAGAAGACACCAAGCACTCACATCCCGAGTCCCATAATACCACTCTGCGCCATCCTGCTGTGGGCAACTACTCAGAACATCGTAGTCCGCAGTACAAGGTCTCCAACGAGCCTTCCTCATCCATCGCTGACCGTCGAGTGGCCCGCAATATGTCAGGCTCCGAACCAACATACACCTCGGATGTTGAAGTCGATGGGGGCTTCGACATGATCTCTCATCACGAGGTCACTGCCTCTAGGACTTCCTCGGAGACAACCGGCTCTGAAGACACTGTCCTCAACTCGCTCGCTACTATAGCGATGGCTACAGCCCCAATCGTCCCTGGTTCTGCCTTGACCATGGACAACATGAACCTCCTTGATACGCAGTTACCCCTTGGGAACATAAGCACCTATCAATGGCTTTGGGGTCAGCCGTGCCCTGGTGGCTTCGACATCAAGGACAGCTCGTCCAAAGACAGCATGAAGGTCCACATCTCGCACTCGCGTGTGAGCAGAGCTACAGATAGCTTTGAGAACGAGTATGGCATGGCCAACCATTCTTCCGAAGCTTTCATCACTTGCGCCGGTGACTGGGCCGATGTTGCTGCCGGTCCTGCCCCCGCGGCACTTCATTTGGACATCTAGTGTGTTGGTCTGTTCAGCTTTCCTTCTTGTCCGTTACGGCTTGCCAACTACCTTGCATTTTCAGATTCCCTTCCGTTCTCCCCTATCCTCGTGCCATGCCGAGGCCTTGAGGAAGTCGGGGCAATGGAAGAGATCGCAAACGGTCGATCTTGGCTTTACTTCGGTTCCTTCTCTCTTTTGCCATCAACATGGCTCGGCACTTCTCTTTGATGATTGAATCTTTGGTCGATGGATGTTGTTCAATGTCGCTCGCTACTTGTTCGTTTAGCGTTTGGTCGATTTGACTTCGGAATTGTTTGGATGAACCACGGTCGTTTTTTTTGGAGGACTTGAGCCGCCCGCCCCTCTTCTTGTACACAGATGCACATTGGGTGTACAATTGGAATGCCAATCATTGATCTACGCTCCCATCCTCGTCATCGTTGCATTATCTCCCGTGACCAAAGTCTCATTAACCTAAACCCCTCCCCACCTCCCCAGGTCGTCACCGACCCCAAGATCTTCCCTAGGCCATGGCAGTACCGATGGAGTGTACCCATGTGGGGAAGACAGCGGCCCCGGCTCCAGTGCGGGACGTGGAGAGACGGCGTCGCATCGCATGGGATGAACTGCTCAGTCTCATCTCCCGCAGCACCCACTTTCAACTCTGATCCCCAATTTTCCCCACGGCATTTTCAATTTAGCCTGAACTTCAGCCGGGTTGAACCCATTTCTTGCCATTATCCAGCGTTCATCAGGTTCCGCGTTGCCGGATGCCCACATAGCCAACGTTGCAATGGAAATCCCCAATTGGAGAACCATGTTATATTGAGGGGCAGGCGACTTAATGAAAGCACCGAATTCCGTGTTCGAATACCCTTTATAAAGCTCACGATGGCCCCCTTTTTGATTCGGGCCTAGGAGCAGTGGATCTGGCAGCCAGCACTCGTTTCTCTGTAGCTCACCACGATGATGATCGCCTCCCTCAAGACGGCCTTCGCCGCCTTGCTCTTCCTCTCCCCTCTGGCAGAAGCACGCCCTCAGCATCCTGCGCGAGGAGATGAGAGGGAATGGGTCACCGTCTGGGGAACAATGCCTCAGCTGGTCGAGCCGGCTAACTTACCCCCAGCGCCATTTGTGAGTTTTCTTTCTCCTCGTCCTCAAAGCGCAATGGTTTTTCTCAGGAGCGTCCTCCTAATTCTCCCGCCCAGAACGAGACAGGCCGAGTCTTCCACGACGCGACCCTCCGCCAAACCGTCAAAGTCTCTCTCGCGACCTCGACTCTCCGCCTGCAAATCAGCAACGCCTTTGGCGGCTCAGACCTCCCCATCACGGCCGTAACCATCGCCCGAACGGCGAACAACACAGCCGGCACGAGCGGCGTCGACGCCGACTCCCTCCTAGTCGTCACCTTCTCGGGCAGCGGCGGCTTCGTCGTGCCCAACGGCGCCGTCGTCTTCTCGGATCCGATCGACCTCGCCGTCGAGGCGCAGTCCATCGTCTCCATCACGATTTATCTCGCCGACGGCCAGACGACCAACAGCATCACCGGCCACCCGGGCAGCCGCACCACGTCCTTCCTCAAGAGCGGGAACCACGTCGCGGACCAGGACCTCGCTACCACCGCTGGCAACGCCACCGCGACGACGACGGATCACTGGTACCTCATCAGCGCCCTCGAGGGCTGGCTTCCCAAGGGCGCCTCAGCCGTCGCCATCGTGGGCGACTCCATCAGCGACGGGCGCGGCTCGACGACCAACGCGAACAACCGCTGGCCCGACCGCCTCCTCGCGCGCATGCAAAATGAGTCATCCACCAGCGCCATCGCCATCGTCAACGAGGCCGCGGGCGGCAACCGAGTCCTGGCGGACGGCCTGGGTCCCAACGGTCTAGGCCGCATCGACAGGGACGTCATCGCGCAGTCAGGTATCAAGTACGCCATCGTCTTCATCGGCGTCAACGACATTGGCACCGCGACCAACACCACCGCCGCGCAGGAGGCCGTGGGCGACCGGCTCGTGGTGGCGTATGACCAGATGGTCACGCGGCTTCACCGGTTCGGCATCGCGGTGTTTGGTGCGACCATCACGCCGCTCACGGGCGACGGGCAGCCGTACTCTGACCCGACGAGGGAGGCGGCGCGGCAGAGGGTGAATGAGTGGATTCGGAGCAGCGGGCGGTACGATGCCGTGATTGACTTTGACGAGATTGTGAGGGACCCCGCGGCGCCGGAGAAGTTGAGGGCCGAGTATGATACGGGGGATCATTTGCATTTGAACCCGGCTGGGTATGAGGCCATGGCTGCTGGGATTGATCTCTCGATTTTTGAGAAGTTCAAGAATGGGGTTTCTGGGATGAATTAGGGGAGGAATACCGTGGTCTGACTGCTCGGTGGTGAGATGGGGTGATGTAAGTGAGTCAGATAGAGACCATATATAAGCGAATCCAAATGCAGAAGCAAAAGTCAGGTTTTCCGAGGAGGATTCGTCAGATGGTTGGCTGTGTACGTGCAACTTGATGATTGGATCGCATGTGTAATTGGCTGGTGATAAAACACGTACTTGTAGCTTGCCCAAGAGAGGCCTTCCTATCACGGGTAGTAAACGCTGTAGAATCAGTAAAAAAATACGAGTCTCGGAAGGAGAATCTTCATTCCGAATGCATCCATCAACACATCTGCCACTAAAGAGTAAATTTCAAATACCCAGCAATCAGTAGAAGGAGTGAAAGGAAAGGGAAGAAGAAGGAGGGTGGGGGTAACTGACCATATATCTCACGCCCCTCAGTCGACCCGAACTCTGACTTCATGGAAGTATTTGTTTTAACTTCATCACTCGACCACCTCGCACACAGCTTGACCTGACCTCGCCGACCTAGACGGGCGCTGCGGTTTTGGTGACGGAAAACGAGGTTGGGACGGGTTACATACCTACCATAGGGCTGTCTGTCCAAGTGACGGGAAGGTCAGGGGCCAGGTGAGCTGGAGTTTACTGTTGGGGGAAGGAGGTACGAGGATGTGCCTTCTTCTTTTTGTGACAGTCTCTGGGTATGGACAGGTTTCCAACTTTTGGGTAAGTTTGGGGGAAACGATCTAGTCCCATTGTCACATGTACCATTTCTACCTTGGGTACACTTCACTATCACTCATAACTATGAAGTCAACTCACGACCTCCACAGCATGGACAGGACCGCCAATTTTGCTAGAGATGCCCCGTCATGCCTGAAACGTGGTTTTATCACTCCATATCAAAACAAAGACTCCAGAGACAAGTTGAGTTACAATATTGCATTAATTATCAGAGCAGTTTCCGCAGTTCGAGCTAATTTTCCAATATGTACAAAGAAGATTTAAGATAATAATAAAAGCCGTATCCGATATCAGATATTCATCAAGGGTGCTCTAGAGTGCTTCATGCAACCATTTTGTCACGAACCAAATTTTTGGGTACAAGGACAGTAATTTGTTTACCAGTCGGCCTCCTCAATTTCGAGGATGGCGACACCGGCAACAGTGTTCTCGTCAGAGACCTTGGTGCTGTTGCCGTTAGCGGTGCTGAGAACGCAGTACACTTGGCCAGCGGGACCCTCGGGGAGCTGCTCGACGATGTACTGCAGGAAGACATGGTTAGCACAAAATTCATACATTTAGAGACAGTGTCAGAAAGGCTGGCACTTACGTCGTTACCGCTGACGGCAACCTCGGAGTAGTAGGTGTCAAGTCCAGAGTAGAAGACAGCGTAAACGGTAGCTCCGGCGGGGACAGTCTGCGCATCAACAGCAGCCTTGTAAGCACCCTCGAACAGAGCGCCGTGGGAGCTGGGCGTGGGGGAGACGGTCAACTTGGGGAAGGCCTTGAAGGGCAGGGCGGGCGTGCCGGGTGCGAAGCCGGTGACGAACTGGGCGGCGAGGGAGTAGACCTGGTTGAAGTCGAGAGGGGTGTCGAAGGGGGTGGGGAAGGGCTTCTGGCGGAGGGCGGCGCGGATGTAGGAGGAGTGGCGGGCCTCGACGGTCAGGATGGAGCCGGCGACGGGGACGTAAGTCTTGTCTGCGATGACGGCGGCGGCGCCGAGGTAGGCGGACACGCCGACCCCCTCGAGGACGGAGGCGAGGGCGAGGAAGGAGTCGGCGTCGTCGACGGGGAAGTCAAAGGTGGGCTCGGGAATGGCAGAGGTGCCGAGGGCACCCTTGAGGAAGTCGACGTGGGTCTGGTGTTTTGGGGAGGATTGTTAGTTGGGGGGTGGTTATGGCCAGCATTCCAAGTCGACGGGGGTTTTTGGTTTAGGGACTACCCTTTTGGGTGTTGTGTAGAGTGTTAGGGATGGAGCCTTACCTTCTCGTCCTCGTAGATGGTCTTGAGGTTCTTGTAGAACTTCTCGCCGACCTCACCGGCGTACTTGCAGAAGTCGGCCTCGGTGTAGTTCTTCAAGCCCTCCTCGTAGAACTTGCGCTCGAGGTACTCGAGGGTAAGAGCATAGCTATCAAACCTTTGTTAGATCTGGATTCAAAACTTGGTACTCCTGTGACTTACTTCAAGATGGTGATATCACCACCGGGGAGGGGGTCGTAGTTGGCCTTCTTCTCGAGGGGAGCGCCCAGGACGGAGGCGGCGGACGCGGCCGCGAGGATGATGGATGAGGTACGCATTGCGATGGGCTGTATTAGATGGAGATTGTAGGAGGGGTATAGAGCGACTATGTGCTTATGTATAATAGATTCACGAGAAAGGGTTGATTGATTTTTGGTAAGGAAGGACTGTTGGTGAGATGGTTGTATCTACTGTGGCTTCTTCCTTCATCTCTCTTACATCGCCCGCCCCGCTGCCGTCTTATATATCAGATACCTGTAAGTGATCCCCCCATCTTGTCAACAACATGACGCCTTGTGATGAGACTCTTTTGCAACGAGATTACTCAGAGACAAACCCGCTTTCCGCAAGAATATGCTTACTGCAGTCTAAATCCCGCTCCCTCGGATGGTCCATTTCCCATGGAGCTATTGGAAAGGATAAACTGGAACGAATGCGCGCTAGCCCGTGGTAGCACCTCGGAAGATCACGAACATTCCCCAGAAGGAGATGATGATCTCGTCATGGAAGAGGAACAGTGCGGCAAAGGCCTGTGAACTCTTTTGCAGGCGGGCACCAGCAGCAGCCTTGTCGTGGCTGTGAGGTGGGATACGCGGAAGGCTCAACAATTGACTGTAATTAACTTGCGAAGAACAGCTCAGTGTTAGTCTAGCCCGGCTGCATTTGATCTTAGCGCGCTGAGAGGAAGGACTTCTCGCTAGGTAGAGAAAAGCCTGGGTTGGTCGAATTGCAGCGAGAAGGATTCCAAACCACGTGAGGAATGAATAGCAAAGACCCCAATGGCATGTTTTGACGCGCTGGACATTGGCACTTGCGATCTGATAGTCTTGGCCTGTCTCGGCCCAAGACAGTCGACAGGAGCCGAACGTTAGCTCGGTGGCTCTCCTCGTTCCCGAGCTGCAAGCACGCCCGGATGGCGAGCATTCCGGGACTGGTACCTAGGGTGCGGGGGAAAATATGGCCCGCAATATGCTTATTGCTTGTTAGTCCACGACTCCACGCTGGGTCAAATCTCAATAAGGCCCGCGGAGAAGGTGTGATGAGACCAAGGGAATGGGGCTACGATCGACACTATTTTCCGAAAAGAAAATAAGCTTGTATTCCTTCAGCTTCATCGCGAAAGCGACAACACAGAATTCTCGGCACAACGGCTTGCCGTCCTGCTAGACCCTACATCTCGAGGGCGAAAACAATCGGTAATACTACAGGTTGGCTTTCATGTCCCCACCGTACCGAACCTGCCGAAGGATGGAAGGCTTGAGCTCGGAGAGACTCTTGAAGCCGGAGAGTCCCATTGTCAAGTCCAGATCAGCAAGCAGCCCAGCAATGACAGCCTTCGCGCCCTCTTTACCCGCAATGCCCAGGCCATAGATGGCGGGTCTGCCAACGAAGACGGCCTTAGCCCCCAGAGCGATCGCCTTGACAATGTCCGCCCCAGTTCGGATCCCGGAATCGAACATAACCGTGAGCTTGTCGCCCACGGCTTCAACAATCTCCGGGAGCACCTCGAGCGAGGCGACCCCGCCGTCGAGCTGTCGGCCGCCGTGGTTACTGACGATGATGCCCGACATGCCGTGCTCCACGGCGAGCTTGGCGTCCTCGACGCTCAGCACGCCCTTAAGAACGATGGGCCCGTCCCAGTTCTTCTTCAGGAGCGCCAGATCCTTCCAAGAATGGTGATCGCCGGGGAAGGCCTGGCTGATCCAGTACCGCGAGGCGCTAATGATGTTGTCCTCTACCTGGTCGCCGTCGTTCTGCTCGGAAAACTTCTTGCGGAAGACGGGATCGCTGAAGCCGACCGAGTTGCCCGTACCTGTGATGAAGGGCAGATATGCCTGGTCGAGATCGGCCGGCCGCCAAGCCAAAGTCACGGTGTCGAGAGTCACGACGAGGACCTTGTACCCGTTGGCCCTGGCGCGTCTGAGAATCGACCCCGTAATGTCATCATCCATGGGCCAGTATAACTGGAACCAGCGGTGCTGGTCGCCACAAACTTTGGCGACCTCCTCAATGGTCGAGGTCGCCGCCGTGCTTAACGTGTACGGCACTTGCAACTCGGCGCAGGCGGCTGCCAGACCCGTCTCCTTGTCCTCATGGAAGATGCTCTGAACCCCGATGGGGGCCATCAAAAGGGGAGACTCTAAGCTGTTGTCTTAGAGCAATGTCTCATTTCAAAATTGGGTTGGCATCCGCAACGTACCATAAGTCACGCCAAATAACTCTGTTCTCAAATCCCGAGGATTGCTAGGTCTCAGGAAGCGAGGCACAATCTTCCACTGGCGAAAGGCTAGACGGTTCGCGTCCATAGTCGATAGCTCGCCAGCGCCTCCAAAGACGTAGTTGAAGGACTCTGGGCCCATGGCCTTCTTGGCCTGGGCCTGTAGGCCGTTGGGATCCGTCGTTACGATTGGCAATTGGCCTGCCATAATGCCGTTTTGATAGATGCTGACGGCGTAGGCCGAGTAAGGGGTCCGTTCATCGCCATCGCCTGAGTCTGCCATTGTGAGAAGGGAAGGGCTCGTAAAGATTTAAAAGAAATCTAGAAAATCTGTTTAGATATTATAGACAGTGTCCGTCGCGGTAAAATTGTAATTGTATTCTCATTGACAGTCGTGTATCGTATTATCTCAACAACTCTAGAGATGAACTTGGGGAGATCGAGGGATTGCGGGGGTGGCATTGGCGTCTTGAAATACTCCAAAGAGTGTCAGATCCGTAAGCTCCCCGGCTGGGAGCCTCGGCACGAAGCTCCCATGTTACTCGTCATGGTAACCATA